AATCTAGTATTATATCTAGTATTATAAAATCTACCTTGGATATTTGTTCGTTAGAAAAAACATTCGAAATGATATTTTTTATCGTTAGACTTGTAGGAAATAATCTGTAAGAACAAAATAACGTATTTATGTATAAGATACATTTATTTAAAAATTAATTAATGTATAAGATAAACTTAAAAAAATAGAATTTATATTTAGAAAAAGAAATGTACTACCTTGGTTTTATATTATCAAACTTTGTTAATATGTAGTCAAGGACCAGATCGTTGCGTGCATGGTTTTGAAGAATGAAATTGAAGATAAATGCATGCTCCAGATTGCTAAATAATGTAGTATTTGATGCTGTAATATTCAAATAGTTGATAATGTTATCAGGATTTTCAGCACAATTCAATGTTTTCCAAAGTTTCTTATCAGATGTTCGCTGATATAGTTCCATCATTTTATCCCAAGTAGTCCTATTAGCTACCGCTAAACCAAAGCAGTACGTCCAATCTTGCCACCATTGTGGAACTCTAAAATACATATGTGTCTATGGAAAAGAGCTACATGCATTTCATACGCATAACCGACGTTTCATTTTATCAAGTTTTGTATTTTTTCTGTTCTGTTAGGTAAATCTTATTTAGCAAAATTGAGTTTCTGTCGTGCGCTGTTCTGTCACTCTATATTTGCCACATAAGACTATATATTACAGTGAATAAATAAATGAAAGATGAGTCCATCGATAACAACACTTCTTATTATGCATGTACATATATTTTTACGTGTTTCGCATATTTATTCTACGCATTAGAGATTAGAATAACAAGAATAGAAATTATGGAGAAAGAGTAAAGAGAATGTCCGACGATTTGAAGAAATAAGGAATCGGTTACATCCATATATGTATATGCATACGTGCGCCCGCAACTCACACGCACAAATATAAATTATAAGATAATCGTAAGAAATTACTTGTGAGTATCAGGGTCCGCGAGATGTTCGCTCAATTTAACAGCGGCCTTTTTCTTACATTCTACGTGACCGACGATACATGCCCATTTCAGGGCATCTAGTCTTAGCATCTTTGTGATATCGTCATCATCAGGATTTTCTTCGTATCCCACATGCTGAAGAACTCCATCAAAGATTTCTACCATGTGTGACTAGAAATTATGAGATAATATTGAATTTTATATTAGTTTGTTGGGGTACATGCGAAGTGACGTGATTCATATATACAATGTATGTATGTATATATTATATATATTTGCTACATGATAATAAGACTATATGTTATGGTGCGTCTCCACCTGCGAGTAAGAACTCTCGAGAGCAAAAAGAAAGAAAGAGAGAGAAAGACTCTCGAGAGTCTTTCTCTCTTTCTCTCTTTTTGCTCTCGAGAGTTCTTACTCGCAGGTGGACACGCACCATTACAGTGATATGTTACAGTGAATTTATTATAAATATATATATATAATAAATTTGTTATTACATACCTTGAAACTTTTGCTCTCTGGCAGTGAAAAGTAATTAAAAAACTGTGCTAAAATTCGGAACATTGGACGCCATGCCACATAATCTCTCTCTCGCCTTAGGTAGTTTATAAGACTCATGAATACAGAGCTATCTAATTGATTCTCCAGCAAAAAGGCAAACGCATCATCCAGAATTTGAGCACGATTGAGAACGTGTATTTTCGTGTATTTCTCAGAATTCAAGTAACGTATGATTCTTTCCAGATTTGTAATATCATAATAGACACGACAGTATGCTGTCGAATTATCCATTAAATTTGTTATTAGATTTTTTTGTTTGAAATTATCAAAATATATTTCCAAATACTCGCATTTTCTTAATCGTATTAAACAAATTAACGTTATGTATAACTTACAAATATTACAAAAAAGTGTACATTAATAATTTACAAGATAAATTACAAGATTTCGAAGAATATAATTACATAAATTTTGAAGTTTCTTTTTAATAAAGAAATACATATAAGAACTTGAATAATATCGTGATGATGAAGCAAATAAATTGATATAGAAGAGTAAAATTTATATTATACCAGTTTGTTGTAGATTGACGATAATCCAACCTCTTGTATTAATTTGCACTCGAAGAGTTTCGTCTGGTTTTAACCAATTATTGGGCATGGTATTGGAAAAAGCCAGAAAACTCTGGTCAGTGTAGGATATGGGTATCCACCATTTATTATTGATACATTCTGTTGCGCGGACACATTGTTGTGTTATATACATTTCACCAGTTTCATAATTTATCGTCACATACAGCACAGGATAACGATTTTGGGTTATCCACGTATCCATCACTTCTTTTATTTTGAATTTTTGATCTCGCATATGAGGGACCCAAGAAGCTTCGTTTTTAGCACTTTGTATGGCGCTCCACAAATTATCGGAAGTGACCGCCATATATTGTCTAAATTTGAAAAATGACATTGTCAACAACACAATAATGCATACGTTGTATATAAATTTACTTTTAAAGAAATCAACGTGAGTATTAGTGTACAATTTAATTAATACACATGTGGGAACTAAGAATACATTTTAAAACTAGCTTAGTTAAATTATAATTAAAGACTAAAGTATAGTCTCTAATCAGTAGCATTGTATATTAAACGCACAGATTTATGTTTCAGATGCGTGGCGTCTTATATTTTCTAACGTAAATACAATAAAATATTATTTAATACTGATATGTGTTAATCATATTAGATTACGTTATACACACTTACTTTGTAACAAAGTACTTGGTGATACCCTTTCGAAATACCTCATCGCCCACTACATGATATAACATGCGCAGTATAGCTGGAGCTACGATAAAATACACGACATAAAATACCGATTAATAATTAATCTATGATATAATACATATAAAGTATATTGTAAAATTAAGATATAACGTGTGAATGAATGTGGAGGTATTGCGTAAAAAGAGAATTTGTTTACTGTTAATTAACTTTCTGTTCCTCTTTCTTCGTGCTACTTGCATTAAGATATTCACGGGCGATTATATAGTTTAATTATAGTTTAACTATAGTTTAAATATATTTACATATATATAATCTTACCTTTTTTATAAACTTCATTACCAAAAAGTGTGCCATGATCTAAGTTGTGAAGGTTCAATTTAATAGAATCCATTAAGCCAATATCTAAAGAAAGAGACTCGTGTATGGGTCCAGTAACGAGTAAATCCATTGTCCGCCAGTCTTCAAATATCTATTACAGAAAATAATCCTCTGATATGGCTGAATTTAAAAATTCGAAAAAAGTTCGCATTTATAAAGATATAAAGGCTTATATACTACTTGTCCGCCACTTTCAAAAACTTCACTATTTTATTTTTTATTATAATTTATCCATGTCAAATATTAACCGTTTTACGCCTAAACTGTTTGAGAAGAACACATACAGTTCAATTATTTTTTTAAATATTGGAGATTGCTGAACACAAAAATATAATCAATATAAAAATTTGAGTTAAATTTTTTTATTGTATTAAATGTTTATTGTAACGGATGCAAAAATTAAAATATTTTTAGGAACCATTGTGCTATAATTATAAGCTTAGATCGCAAATTTTTAAACCGGCAGATGCTAAAAACAAAATATTCATCAATTTTATTAAAAATTTGTATTAAATTATTTGTATAATTGTTTGAAAAATGAATGGGTTACAATCTTATTTATAATTCCAGATTGAAGAACGTGCCATTATTTATATTTAGCTCTGTCTTGATACATTTTATGAAAATTTGGAAAAACTTAAGTCCTGTTTTTTTATTTAATGAGGAACCTTGCATTAGTAATATTAAATAACCTTGTTGAGGAAATACTCCTGGAAAAACACAGCAAATCCCTCGCTTAACCACAGGTCAGACCACCAAGATGGGGTGATAAAATTGCCGAACCACTGATGTGTGATTTCATGCGCTACTAACGATGCTACTTTCCTTCTCCGAAATGTGGGATCTTTGCTTTCATCGTAGACAACTTTTGATTCCCTAAAAGGCAAAACATAACATAATATACATGATTGTTTAAAATGATTAAGCATAGTCCTTCTTATCGTTAGCATGCAGTCTAATTTATTTTGAAGTAATTAGTAATTATAACACATTAATTAAACACTTTAATGTGAGACAATCTAAAAATAAAAATATGCAAATAAAATTTAAATATTCTTGAAACAAATGTTTTTTTAATTATCAAATGTGGAATACTAAAAGTAATTAGCCAGCTCTAAAAGGTTAATATTAATCTTTTTACTTATGTATATTACTAATCCTTTCTAGTTACGTATATTATTACTCGTAAATAATGATTCCCCAATCTTCCATGCCGTCGACGGGATAATTTGGTATCATGACGTGATCTATTTT